GCTGTTTTCCACACTAAGCCACTATCCTATCTTTGATGTTGGTTAACCTTCCACTCAGATCAGTATCTGCTGTCCTATGTCTGACCACAGTCAATCTTCACATGATTTTTTTGGAGTGATAAATTCTCTGTGCTACCAATGCAACTTGTCATGTCTTTCAATACCAAGACGAGTTGTCATTCTCCAAGCCTTCACCACTGGGGTCAGCCTTGAGTAGATTGATTTAAAGGTACCAAAAGTGAGTTAAATATGTGGTTGGTCCTGTCTGTTTTTCAATGTCTATCCAGGATTCATGTGAAGCACACCCTTTGATTAGATAGGATAGTGACTTCTCATATGAAAAGACATCACAGATTGCAAGTATAAAAAGCAGCCATGGACCTGACATCAAAAGCAACTATTCATAAGTGGCAGAATGTCAACTCATCCCAATCCTTCAATCATATCCCCAATGACCTATATATATATAGCTAACCACACTACATACTATATGTCAGAAAAGTGGACACAATTAACTTTTGTAATGAAAAAAGCGGACACTACAAACCATTGTAGTCTCAAAAAGTGGACACTATTAACTTTTATAATGAACAAAGCGGACTCTACAAACCATTGTAGTCTGAAAAAGCAGACACTACTAACTTTTGTAGTCTCAAAAAGCGGACACTACAAACCATTGTAGTCTCAAAAAGTGGACACTATTAACTTTTATAATGAAAAAAGCGGACACTATTACTTTTGTAATGAGAAAAGCAGACACTCCTAATTTTTGTAGTCTTTGTCTGACCTTTGTGGTCTATGTCCAACTTTTGTAGTCTTTTTTGTAGTCTATTAGTAAACTTTGTAGGCTATAAATTACTTTTGTAGTCTGTCAGTGTCAATTACCCTTTTAGGGCATGTACCTTCCTTTTTGGGAGAAATTTCCCACGATACAATAGTTGTAGCCCCTTCTCTTAGCTTTCTAAATCTGTTGAAATCATGTTGTTTAGTGTTCTTTTCATGAAGAAAAATGCAAAAAACAAAAAAAAACGCGGCGCTTTTGAAAACCTTTTACCTTATATCTCCACAATGGAAGCACTTTAGGACATAATT